GCCGATAACAAGCACCCGCTTTTGGTTCTCACCCTGCTCCACCTTCCAGAGCTGACTGTGCCCAGCTCAGCCCTCTGCTTCAAAACCTCACTCGTGGCCTACAGAAAAAAAAAAAAAAAAGCAAACAACGAAACCAAAAACTCCTCTGGAAACCTTACAAAGTGTGGCCTGGGTTGGGGGGGTGATGTACAAACCCACCTAACGGCGCAGGATGAAGGGGATGGGCACAGTGAGGTACAAGAACAGTCCCCACACAGCTGGGATCCTGCCAACCCCGGTGCCAGGCCCCAAGGGGGCTGTTGCCAAGGGGAGTCCCTCCACGGACATGACAATTTACCTCCAGAAGCTTCTTTAAAGGTTTCCTCAGAGACACGGACCTGCTGAAGCCTCCGTCAGCCCAGGACAAGAGCCACGGGGAACACCAGAAGGAGTTTGTGTCACCAGAGCTGCAGGGAGGAGGTGTAACGTGCATTGCACACACTTCTCACCTTCATGGTGCTTAAAAAGCAGAAGTTTTGAAAAGCTCTGCCTGTTCTTGGATGGCCTTTTCCACGGGGAGCACACTGCTGGTCCCACAGCCCTTGGTGAGCTGCTCAGGGCCCACCCCGCGGCGCGCGGGGGAGACACGGTCACATCCTGGTGCTGACCTTCACCCACCAGTCCCTGCAGCCTCCCGGTGGAAAACTGCAGCTGTGCCAGAGGGGAGAGAGGGGATCTCTGGAGAGAGGAGCAAAAAACAATCTGCAGGAGCTGGCCTTGCTTGCTCGGAAGATGTTTCTTCTCCGTGAGCCAGGAGCAGCTCCCAGCACGACGCCAGAGGCTCCGATTTTTCCATCACACAAATTATATTTCCGGTGTTAAAAAACAACCTCCTCAGCATTAATCTTTCACAGTACCTTTTTATTATGCTACCAGAATTAATTTTGTACTGTGCCTTAAGAACGAAACACCACCCCACCAAGCAGTAGGCAGAGCTGGGTGTGCTGCTCCGTTACAGCTGCTCGGGGAGTTCATTCCTCCTTCACTCAACCACCTGCAGCAAAGACGGAACCAGAGATCAAGTTCTCTTTATCTAAACAAGCCCCTGTTTTAAATAACTAAAACTAAAGATGTGTGGGGTTTGTCTGAGAAAGGAAACTTCCCCCATTTCATTCCTCTGCTATTTCTTTTACAATAAAAATGCCCAGTGCTTCTGCAGGCTTTAAGAATTCCAGAATTCAAAGCACAGAATCTCTCACAGCACAAGCAGGCTTTTAAATGAAAAGACAGACTATCTTTTCCTGATTAATACATTTTAATGATGTCTGGCTTTGGCTCTGGCTCCAGTTTCTATTTTCATATACTTTCAATGCTGCTAAGATACTAAGAGGCTTTTTTTTTTCTTTCTTTTTTTCTTCTTTTTTTTCCTGAAGTCTAATTTCTTCCGTGGTGGAAAAAGCCACAGGCTGGGATCCCAGAGCATGCACAGCAACTCAGTTCCAGGGCTATTTATCACTTTTAACACACAAGGCACATCACTGCTTTATTTTGTAATATCCTATTAGGAATCCAAGTTAGATACATGTGTCAAGCACTTACATCCACAGCACGTATGGGGAGCACTTTGCTACACATGGCAAGCAACACCTTCAGCTCCTGCCAAAGGAGCAGCAAGACAGCTCCAGGTCTCCAGGCACGGATTTGGCTCTTTCTGCACTAGTGTCTGTGGAGAGCACAGAGATTTGGGGCACCTTTCAGTGGAATGACCCCCTGATGAGGTATAGAAGACTCTAAGTTGGGTTGCTGCTCCAGTGGGCCACATGGGGAGAGGGTGGCTGGGGGAAAGCCCAGGTTCTCCTGCCCCAGCTTCCCAGAAACTGGATCTGAGCCATCTCTTGCCCAACTGACAGCAACTTCCATTTGTGATGTGCTTGAACCAATACACTGGGGGCTCTGATTACCCACCAACACTTGGGTTCTGACTGGCTTTCCTGAGGCAGCCCGTGGACTCTACATGCCAGGAGCTTCCAGTGCTGCCCAGGAACTCAGCTCCCTGGTCCTGCTCTCCTGAGAGCCCAGGCTACATTAGGTACCTCATCAGTCTTTCCCACTCCTCTCCCAGAGCACTCAGGAGACAGTTGGCCAAACCACAACTGATGCTTGATGCTCACGTTCAGCCTTCTCCAAAGCACCAGACCAACATCACCAGCTCTTACTGTCGTGCCCAGAGGGCTGGAAAGGGCTCACCCTGGAGAGGACCAGTGCTGGCTGGCACAGCCCCCAGGGCCCAGCCCAGCCTCAGTGGGACCGACCTGGCCAGGGGCTCCTGTCCCCACCCCCAGACCCAGAGGCACATCAGCTGTCCCCTCGCCACTCACTCCCAGCTCACAGGATCACTCCAGCTGGAAAAGGCCTTCAAGATCATTGAGTCCAACCACTGCCCTAACTCTGCCACCTCCACCGCTAAACCCTGTCCCCTGGCACCACATCTGCCTGTTTAGATGGCTCAACCACCTTCTGGGACAGCTGGGATCACCAAGTCCAGCTCCCTCCCCAGAACAGGACAAGCCCAAAGCTGCCTTAGGCAGGAGCAAGGCAGCCCATTGCCATGGGACATTCTCTGCTTGCCTTGGGAAGAAAAAGCTCAGCCCACCCTGCAGGGCTTGTTCCAAGCCTGGACATGTTTTGAGCATTCTCTGGTGCCACGAGTCCTGGAGGGCAAGGTCCAGCACACCAAAACCCCAGCACACCAAAACGACAAGTGCCCCTGGAGACGTCGTGCCTCCAGGAAGTTTCACTTCCTGAAAACATGGTGATATAATTAGGCATCTGTGCTCCCCGTGGTCCTTCTGCTGGTGCGTTTCATCCCCTTACGAGAAAGACTCTGTGAACTTTCCTTGACTATGTGAAATGAATGTAATTGTTTCTAAAAGGCTTCCTGACATGTATATATTTTGATTATTGCTTAGCAGCAGGGTGCTGGGCTCCTGTGAGGGAGGGGCAACAAGGGAAATATTTGTTCTTGACTTGGATCTGCATTTGTTCTTGGTTGGGACCTTTGATTTATAGGCTCCATCATGCTAGAAACATGATTGCCGTGACCACTGACATGATTTTAAGAGCTTTTCCTGTCTTTACAACTCAATACCACAGGGTCACTCTCTACTGCTGCTCCTGCCACAGGACATACACACGGAGGTGTGACAGGAGCCCAGATTGCCACCAGGGCAGGAATGGCTGCTAGGGCATGGGACTGGGGATACATCCTAGGGAAGTAGGAATTAGAGGGGACAGGCTGCTGCCCACAGCTCTACTCTGCCTTTGCTTTGGGCAGAGTTGTCACTGCTCACACTGGGGACCAGAAGTAAGAAGAAGGTCAAGGTTCACAGTGATTAGAAATATACTTGGGTTTACAAGTGTGCTGTGAAGAAGAAACCCCATGACTCTGAGCAAAAAAAAAACCCAGTCCCAAAATGTCAGCAGAGCTGGCAGTTTCAGTCATCCTGCTGTTCATGTGAAGCCTCTGAGAGTCTCCACAATGTTCCCCTCTAACTTACCTCCAGTGAAGCTCCTGGGCAGGTCAGAGGTGGTGGTCTCAGAAGATGAACAAGAGATGTCTTTCAAGAGATGCTCAGGGCACCAGCAGGTCTGAACTTCTCCTGTGCCTGATGCTCCCAGGAGCTCAGCCCCAGCTCCTACCCTGGCCTGAGCCAGGTCTGCATGGTGGGCCCAAAGGACTGACCAGGCTGACCTGCACCTGCCTCTCCTTGTCTGAGCACCACCAGACCCTGCTCCTAGCACCAGCCTGGCCCTGCTTGGGCTCATCTGACCAAAACTCTCCAGTACCTGGTGCCACAGTCAGCAAAGCTCCGCTGTGCCTGTGCTGCCCACCGTGGTCTCAGTGCTCCCCACAGACACTGCCCAAGAGCAGAGCCACCTTGTCCCACGAGCTGCTCCTTCTGCAGCCTCTGCACTCAAAGACAACCAAGACTTGTCATGGCTTCTCATGGGCCAAAACAAGCCACAGCTCCACGTATCAAGCAGGGAAACAAAAATACATGTAACACTTTTACAGAGAACTCCAGTGCTACAAATCATATTGAGGAAAGACAGTTTTCTGATGAAACTCAAGGGGTGACCATATTTTTGGACAAAATGTATTGTCTGCAGCTCCCTGTTAATGAGCACAGCTTGAAGACTGGGACACAGGGGACGTGAGGTCCCTGCCAAGCACACAGGGTTGCCACATGTTCATGCTGAGTGACACATAATCCACAACTAGAGAGTCCCACTGACCTAAGCATCATTATTTGCAAATATAACACGACTCAAATAATGGCAAAAAAAGCTGATTCTGACTGAACAAACACCACACTTTTTACACCAGAAACGAGCAATGACATTACAGGGGAGAACAAACAACACAGGAACATTCCAATCAAGTGCTTAGGGGGAAACAGCGTTTGAAACTGGCAGCTATTTGAATCACACCTACTGAAGATGTTGGAGAGATCTTGGTCCTCTAGGAGAGGCATTTTTTCACTTCTGTCAAAGCTGCAAAGTTGGTAGCACTTAATTACACTGATTCCAGTGCCTGAAGGGGCTCCAGGAAAGCTGGGGAGGGGCTCTTCATCGGAGAAGACAGTGCTAGGACAAGGGGTGATGGTTTTAAACTGAGAGAGGGGAGTTTTAGGTTAGATATGAGGAAGGAATTCTTCACTGTGAGGGTGGTGAGGAACTGGGATGGGTTGCCCAGGGAGGTTGTTGGTGCCCCATCCCTGGAGGTTTTTAAGGCCAGGTTGGATGAGGTTTTGTGCAGCCTGGTCTGGTGGTTCCCTGCTCATGGCAGGGGGGTTGGAGCTGGATGATCTTCAGGGTCCCTTCCGAGCTCGATGGTTCTACGTTTTGCCACGGACAAAGCCACACGACTGCAGCAGGAGACACGAGGCCAGGCCGAGCCGGGCGACGGGAGCACACGCAGCGCC